CTGATTCTGAGGTCTGAGTCTTTCAGAGTCTTTCAGAGTCTTTCAGGGTCTTTCAGAGTCTTTCAGAGTCTTCAGGTAGAAAAGTTCAGCTCTGTCTTTATCAGGATCTCCAGTCCTACAGTAGAGACACTCATCAGCTCATATATGATAATACGATCTGTAGTTTCTTACAGTCGACCAGTTTATTATATCACACTCCTGAACACACACTCAGCTCCTCTACTGGACTTTAGACTGAATGATAAACTAGCTGTAACTTCCTTTTCCTTAGAAAGAGAAAACCAGTTGGAGCACATTCAGTCAAATTAGAGTGTATCTGAAATCCAATTTTAACAAGACTGGCCAGACACTGTTTTGCTGGACCATCAGCTACACTGCATTTGTCAGCCAGTGTCTGTTAAACTGAGTATATTTATATGCAGGATTTAATGTACTGGGTGCAAAATTAACATTCAGTCCTGTCTGCAGCGTCTGGTGGAGAACAAAATTTTACCAGTCAAGTTTTGTCACTACACAAGTAACGTACTACTGCTACTGCTGCTACTACTAGAGTGCTGTGAAAATTTATTTGCCCCCTTCCCAATTTCCCAGACCTGCTGAATCTAAATGTCACTTCTGGTAATGTGAAGCAGGCTAGAAGCCCAAAATGTCAAAAACATTAAGCTTTCAATGGGCTTAACTACTGAATAATACTTTCTGTTTTCCCACAGCTATATACAAGTATCAGAAGTGGATATATTGCTCTATCATCACTTCACATGCTTACATGCTATATTAATTGTGGAGAGCTAGAGAATTAAGAGCTAAAAGCCTGTGTTAACGTCACATTCACAAACAAGGCCTCTATCTACTGTTTTTACCAGCTAACATGAACAAGCTCACTGTGTCACACATAAACCAGCGATCTCTGTAATATTAACATTTAAAAAGGAAATGAGAACTTTTATGTTGTGTGAATTTGATAAGAATTTATTTTGTAACTAACTGGTAGCTGTGCAGTTGGTTAATTGGCTCCAGGTGCTGAATTATCAGTAGTTGTATGTCTGTCACAGAGTGTGACTCTCCTACACACAGTGTCCTCTCCCGTCTTCAAAAATCATTTTTACAAACTGTTCACATTAAACTATTATGACAGCCTTTTTGCTACCTGGTAATTACAGGATGCTGTGTTGGGGTTTTAAACAAAAATGTACAGTAAGTAAACACCAGCCTGCTAGCAGCAGTGCTCACAGTAGGCTGGGTAATGTTGGTATTTCAGAGACATTAAATTAAATAATTGTGCTTCAGTGTTTTCTTCCTCCATTCAGCGCCTCACTAAACGTGTTTGACCGTTTCATTGTTATTCATTGTCTAATGGAGAATTATCTGATATCTGATATAACACATGATATACTACATTAACTTATACATTAAACTACTAGCATGTATTTAAAAGCCTCGTCCAAATTCAGAATAAATAACAACGATAACTTGGCAAGACTGACCTCAACAGGTCACAGTCGATTTTACCTTTGTTAATAACAGATACTGCACATATTTATTATCCCTCATATCTCAACACTCTTCTCTCTATATTACACACATATAGGTGTGTGTGGCTAGAGAGAGAGAGGAAGAGCAAGAGAGAGAGGGAGAGCAAGAGAGAGAGAGAGCCAGAGAGAGAGAGAGAGAGAGAGAGAGAGAGAGAGAGAGAGAGAGAGACACAGAGAGAGGGGGAGAGAGAGAGAGAGAGACAGGTAGAGACAGGTAGAGAGAGGACAAAAGGATGTAACAGTGTAAATGTTCAGCATTTTGTTACCACTAGAGGGCGACACTGGGTCGTATATGAAGAAACACTGAAATGAAACTGAAAGTAACTGCAGTGGTTAAAGAAGGACAGAAGCTGCAGATTTCAGTTCTCTGGACTTCACTCTAAGTTCGTTAGGTTTGGCTGCTCTAATGTGAAACAGTGTAAAACAAAATGATTTTGGTTTCTTTAAGTGAATCTGATTGAACTCTGAAGTATTAAGATTAATTTAATTTAATTCAATCAAATATTTTCATTAGATTTTTAATTATTGTGTTTTTGTTTGAAATCCACAAATTAAATGAGTGACTGCAGTGGAGATATTTTTGCATTTACTCCCAAATGTGTTAAAATATTACAGTTATAATTTTACTCTAGCGCTGTATTGATAAGAGCAAAAAAACAGCGCCTCCCGCAGGTCCTAGTGCTCTGTGATCGCTGTGAAATCTGGTCTAAAATCCCCTAAACTTGTCCTAGCGTCGCCCCCTGAGGGTCTTTTTTCTGGCTAGATTATTTTTCTGTTAAAAATAGACCTAAATAGATGAACTGTTTAAGGACACTGAGTCTGTGTTTATTCCTCTTTCAGCTCTTCAGAGTCACAGTCTGCACAGCTCCTGTCTTCAGTGTTATTCTAAATAATAAATTATGGTGTTTATTTTTTCACGTTCATTGTGTTTTCTTTCCGTTTCACTCAGTGTTTTGTTTGTTTGTTTGATTATATCCTGTCGTTTAATAAACTCACTTCTTGCACCTATTTGGAGTCTTCACATTAGTAAGTACCCACACAGACCTGAACCACGAAGCCCACGTAAAGCCGAAATCCTCCATCCAGGTGTATCACCACCTAACAATCATATTTACTATTATTTGGTAAATAACTGAATCACTTAATTACACACAGATCTGTTCCTGTGTACCACTGATCTACATCTGTTATCAGAAACCTGTAAAACCGATTAAAATGGAGCTTATTAAGGATTCTAGGAGTGACAACAAACAGACAGCGTAGTACAGATTACTTTCACTGTCTCAACAACGTTGTCACAACCTCCTACAATGCTGTCAGATAACATCACAACTTTCTGAGGAATTACATTTCAGCACTGTGACAGCGTAACTGTGTTGGCAGGGAATCAGTGCACAGCCCATATGTACCACCTTTAAATCCACTCCAGCTGTGATAAACAAGGGGAGACCACTTTTCTCAGGCTCTGGTTACAGATGTTCCCCTGTGTTCTCAGTGTAAAGGTGGTACAGTTTGACTGAAAGTTACTGAGTTAAATGATCAGCACAGGTAAATTATCAGCATCATTACTGTACTTTAAATCCGCTCCAGCTTTTTCTCTTTAAGGGGGAACCACTTTCCAAGGCTGCCAGTAAAACCTCTTCCCTGCTGTGTTCTTATTATTAAAGGATAAAGAAAACCTGTTGTGTTCAAAGGTAGATCAGATGCTCACTTTCACTACTGTCACCCTCTAATTTAATTTCAGTTGTGTTGTACTGTAAAATATGGGAGAAACTCTTTTTCTATCAGTACCAGGTAACTGTTCCCTCTGTGTTCTAGTGTAGAACAACTGTACTGATGAAAACTATAAAGAAAAGACTCAGTACTACCATAACAGTAAGACGTATATTAGGAACCTAGGAGCCCTTAGATAAGTAGTCTAAAATAATAACACAGACTAATAACTGTGTCTGTAATGCAGTTATTTATTGTTTATTTCAGCAACAAAGCTTTCAAATGTTTCAAATCTATTTACAGAACTTAGTGAGACTGACGGCTGTGGGACAATCACAGTACACCTTAAAAATCACTGTCTGAACAATAGAAAGTCTCTATATGTGCAGTAATTAAATGAGAAATGGTGCTTTAAAGCTATGTTACTATGTTGTAGTTGAAAATGGAGCGAAGCTAGCATTAGCAAGTTTACTCACCTACTGTCTGAGCATTAAAGCCTCTGATAACAACAGATTTTATACTTTAAAACACGTTTAACTACAAACCATTTTACAAACAATGTGAAAATTTGCTGAATGGGTTGATATGGAGCATTTGAGCAAAATCATTAAACATTTTTAATGTAAAAGAATACAAATCATTTCCTGAACACAGAGCAGCATAAAGCATTTTAACACCGCTGTTAAATTTTTAAGAGCTTTTAAATTCATTATAGGAGTTTAAACAGCGCCTCATGTACGTTCATGAGCTGCTCCGCTCGTCAATCAATCATCACACTCTAGCAGTAAAGCCCGCCTCCTGCTGCCCAAAACCTGTTTGCTATAGAAAAAGGAAATATAAAGGTGAGATTTCTTTGTTTTTTAGTGAAATCCATCCTTCTACTGTCTAAAACTAAAGGAAAGTTCTGGTTCAGTGATTAGAAACTATTTTAACTTTTTGTTTTCAGCCGTTGAGCTCCATTAACTCCCATTCATTGAGGACTCACTCGCGGGCGCCCTCTGCTGATTAGCAGTCCTGTTTTTGATATAACAGGGAGAACAGGAAGTGGCCAGGCTCCTCATAAACCGGCTCTGACTGTAGCTTAAACCGCTCTGAAGTTATGAAGGCTAGAACTCAACTGAGCATTTTGGGTTCTGGAGTCTGAACGTGTCAGCGCCCTCGACTCCAGTTGAAGCTCTGACTGAGACACAGTTTTCCAGCAGTACAGGTTTCTACATCTACACTCTCAGACAGCACGTTAATCAGAGCAACACAGTAAAAGAACAGCAATGAAATTACAAGTAGAACATCTGAAATCAAAATTAAGCTTTTTTACCTGGTTAGTTTCCCTGGTCAGGTTAAGAACGATATGGTTTAAAAGACAATTTTGTTTTCCCATAATCTTACCATCAAAATATAAAGACTTCTGTCCATCTCTAAAACATCAATAACATTTCACTTGAACTACATTACATTGACATAAACACGCCATAAACACATCATGAAAGATGTCATATACTGTCAGATGATGTTCAGTAATGAAGTTTTACCAAATCATCTTCTGAGTCTTGATTATGTTGCTGTGCAACAAAAATAATATTAACCAAAAATATCATGTTTCCCCTCCCCCCACCACCACCACCTCCACCTATTGTTGAGACAAATCCTCAGCTCGCTCAGAGCCCCTCCAAGATCCTGAGCTCAGCTCAGAAATACGTCACAGTAAAGAATGAAAATGGGTTATATTTTCTGACTCACACTGACTTTAACATAACAACAAAACCCAAAAAAGAGTGGTCTACATGACCAGGCCTTAATTAGTCTTTATCTCCTTTAGTACAAATTACTGTTGGTCAGTTTTGGTATTAAAATTATATGAAGATCTTCTGATTCTTCTCTGTCAGAAATATAAGTCAAACTAAAGCCTTCAAATTAGCAAAAGAAATATTCCAATCATTAATACCATCAATCTGACATCAACAGCTCTTCCTGTCCTTTTATCTGCTTTGATCATCTGACCCTCATTTTAATAGAGTACATTATAACACAG